CTATTGCTGAAAGATATCGTGAAGTCATCTGATGACCTTGAAATCCGCCAGTACGCGAATTCAAGTAAGCTGCAAAGGTCGACTTTCTTTCGTTCGCAAATAATCTTCTTCCCCGGTCCTTTCGACCGAGTGAAGTTAAATGGAACTTACAAAAACTTGTCTATCTTGTTCTCTCAAGTAATTTTCCAAAAAATATAGTGTCTAGGAAGAAAAGGTTCATTTGAAGGCCGAATAAGGTTAGATTGCTTGTTTTGTTCGCTCAAGTGATTTTCAGAAAAATATATCTTTCATAAAGGAAGGTTATATAGGCCGAGTTAGCTCAGGTTGTTTGAAACAAGTAGTTTGATTTGTTCGCTCAATTGATTTTCCGAAAATTATACTTTCCAGAAAGAAATTTCATTTAGGCCGAGTAAGATTACATTGTTTTGAACGAGTAGTTTCTTTTAGCTCAGTTGATTTTTGGAGAAATGTACTCTCTAGGAAGGAAGTTCATTTAGGCCGAGTTAGGTTAGATTGTTTAGAAGGCTATAGATCGTCCTGCTGTCCGTTGTCAGCTTTGATATGGAGCATATATAGAAGATACCTTCGTGAATTGATTGTCAGCAGCCCTGATAGTGCAACTGATGAGGCTTGGAGAACCGAAACAGTCTGACTTGCATCACCTGACAATCGATTAACGGAATTTCCCTATAATTTTGTAGTCTCGAGATTCTAGGTTCTTCATCATGGTATTTGTTCAGCAACAAGTATTATCGCGTTCTCTTCATTGTATTTTATTATATTTATTGTACTTATTATGAATTTTAATATGAAATCTTGATATTATTGAATTACAAATTTCTTCGCCGCGGATATCTTGTCACGGATATTCTGTCGCGGATATAATGACTCGCGCATATAACATCGCGGATTTAATGTCGCGGATATAGTAGCTGCGGATGAAGTGTCGTAGAACCGCATTATCCTACTTCTATTTTAAAGTGATATGAATTCTATTTGTTTAGAAGATACTCTTCTCCCTTACTCGCATAACCTTCTCAACCAAAGTGATGAGTTACAACTTCAATTCCTGAGACCAGCAGGAATTGTTGAGGATGTTTTGGTGAACTGTACGAGCAGTGATGAGGCGAAAGAATTTGAAATGTACGATTTTCAATAATCCTCATTGTTCCACGCCTATGATGGATCGATATTGATAAAATAATAAATATTTTTTAGTCCCAAAAAACTCGTTCAAGGTACCACATCTAAGCGGAATCGAAAGAGTGGTTTCGAATTATTAGAAAAAAATATCAACATATTGAATTCATCCGGGGTGTGTAGCCCGCAGTGAGGTACCATTATATAAATTCTCAATTCTGTTTCAGGATTATATTCAATTCAATTCAATTCAATCTTTATTTGTTTCCGAAAATAATATTTCATAACAAAGAGGTTAGTTGTTAGTATTAGTTATAAATATATATATATATATATATATATGCCTATAATAATGATAATGATAAGAGAAAATAGTTATAATGAAAGTGACTTTGCCTACATTATATATAAAATCATTACTCATTCAGTATGAAAGATCGCAGTTTCAATATATTCCATATATGTGAGTACATCGATTTTGCAATAGAGGGCGTCATATTGTCGAGTGCATTCATGAAAGTGTCTGCATCGGCGAGATACATAAGGTTTGACGGCTTGATAGAAACATAAATTGGACATTCAAAAAGAATGTGAAAAATTGTTTCGTGGCGGTTTTGATTGCAGGCTGTACATAATTCTTTTGGGTTGATGCTATATGAGTATCCTTTGATGTTGAATTTGATTATATATTCATTACATAAACGGAGTTGGGCAATAACACGGGTAATATGAGGTGGCAGTCTAATCTGGAGATAATCTTGTGCATTATTATTATTTAATCTTAGATTTTTGTAAAACGTTAAATAGGACGATTGGTTCAGTAACGTCAGATCCTCTTCTCGAAGTTTATTTTTGTAAGTAGTAAGGTATGACTCTCTCTTCCTTTTTAGGTTGATGACATTCATTTCTCCCCATTGCTCAGTGCATCCTGCATAATCGAGGCATTTCTTAATCTGATTTGCCCAATTATAGTTCGAGTGTGTTACATTTGCCAACTTGATATTTTGTGAAAGGCAAATCTTTGGGAGACGCTCGGTTCCCATTTCTAAAATTTTTATAAGCCAGTTCAATGCATGTTTGAATATAAGGTACGCAATTTTAGATCTTCCTGTCTCCAATCGTACCGCAAAATCTGCGGTGTTTCTTGGAAGCAACAAAATTCTTTTGAAAAAAGTTATTTGGATTTTTTCCAGTACCTCTGCATATCGAAGTCCCCATACAGGTATACAGTTGGTCACTATGCTAGTCACTAATGAATCAAACAACTGGACACGAGAATACCATGAGTTGATTCTTGTTCCAGTTATAATCGGTATTACCGAACCTATTGCTTGCTTCGCTTTTTCGACTGTACAGTAGGACATTTCTCGAAAGAAAGATGACGATGAGAATTTCACACCGAGGTATACAAACGATTTAACGGTTTCTATTTTATCAACACCATAGTAGAAATTATAGGAACTTGGAAGAGAGGGGCCCCTAGAGAAAACCATAACTTTTGTTTTGTTCACATTTATGGTAAGTAAATTACGCTCGCTATATTGTCTGAGAATTTTGAGTTTACGTTTCAAGTCAACTTCACTGTCGGAGATAAGAATAAGATCGTCCGCGTAGAGAAGCATCATCACTTCGTTCGAGCCATCAATATTCACTCCTTTAGCATCTGCAGCTACGAAAAACTTCTCGATGTCGGCAAGAAACAAGGAGAAAAGTAAAGGGCTCAAGGTTTCACCTTGAAGCACACCTGTCGTGATATCCACAGGACGAGCCAGACCCTCCATTCCTATAACTCTCATAGATGCATTTTCGTAGATTTTTTTAACGAGCGTAATGAGCCTACCGCTAACACCTAGATGAAACAGTTTTTGCCAGAGAAGCGAATGACTTATAGAATCAAAGGCCCTTTTGAAATCCACGAAAGCAATGAAGATTTTCCGTTTTTTTAGTCTCAGGTGCAGTTGTATGATAGAGCTCAAAACAAATATATTGTCAATACATCCCCTTGTTTTTCTGAATCCAGACTGCGATTCGGGTAGCATGTTGTTTTCTTCAGCCCAATTGTTCAATCTGTTCTTGATTATATGTGTAAATATTTTTTCTGGGCAGTTGATGAGGGCTATACCTCGATAGTTGGTGGGATCATCAATGGGCCCCTTTTTATGTAACATTTTCATGATAACTTCGTTCCAGGTTTGTGGGATCGAATGTGATTCCATAATTTGATTGAATAAATATGTAATATATAGAACCCAATTGTTCGGGAGACTTTTGTAAAACTCATACGGGATGCCATCTGAACCAGGCGTCTTGTTATTACCACAGGAATTTAATACATTGTATATCTCAGAAGGGTTGATTGGGCCATCGAGGGAAGGGTGAGAAACATCAAAGAATATTGTATTATCTATGATTCTGGTTGGGTAGATTTCAGTATAAAATGTTTCCCAAGCTTCAACGGTAATATTTGGAATAGCTTTAGTACCACGAAATTTTTTTATTGTTAACCAAAAATTTTTGGAGTCCTTACAATTAGATAAAGTGTTCGTTATTGTTTCAAAATAGTTTTGTTTTTTATTTCTAACTAGGGACTTGTACCTTCTATATTCATCTAGATATGCAATTTTGTTCTCTTCCGTAAAGTTGTTTTTCTTGCATAATTTTAAAGCTTGTTTCATTTTCAATTTTGCGCTCTGACATTCAGCATCAAACCATATATTTTTCCGTTGCGCGGGTGTATTGCGAGTGGGGTGTTTGATTAAATTGAGACTAGTAGATGTGTCTGTAATAGCCGAAATCATATTTGTGTAACACTCTTGTACTGAACCTAAATGGCCTACCTTGCTTGATCTTTGCATCATAATTTTATATTGCAGTGCCAGCTCGTTATTCCATTTGAAAGAGGGCGATGAGTATTTCACTTTCAAGTTTTCATTCGGTTTGGATTCAAAAAAAACATTCAGTGAAACAGAGAGAGCAAAATGGTCCGAAACAGTGAACTCATTGAGTATTTCCATATCTTTTATAATACTAAGGCTGTCGTTATTCACCAAAGCTAGGTCAATAACGCTATTTCCAATTCTGTCAACATGCGTGAATTGAGCGGGAGTATCCGAGATTGTTCTGCCGTTTAATAAGCTGAATGCGTTTTCATACATGAACTCAACAATACAGCGACCTCTCGAGTTTACGATTTTGTCATTGCTTGATCGAATCTCACTCAAATTTGTGTTTTCAAGTAGCTCTATCGGAATAGTGCCTAATTCAGAAACCCTACAATTGAAGTCCCCTGCGATTAATATTGAAGTATTTTCATACGTTTCTATTATTTCTGATAGAACTGCTTGAAAGGATTCTAAAACAATTGGTAAATCAAGAGAAGGTTTGAAGTAGATTGCACAAATTATAATTTTTTCATTGCGAAAACTCAGTTGGCAGCAAAGCCACCAAGGGGATCTGTTGATTATTGAGATATTCATATATTTTTTATAGAATAAGCTTATTCCCCCACTGGCTCTGCCAAAAGACTTTTCTTTCAATGCTGGAGAGCTAATTACATTATAGTTCAATAATAAATCTGGAGAATGAGAAAACTCGTCCTGCAGCCATGTTTCTGTGAGACAAATCACATCAAATAATTCAATATCATGGAAATCGTGTACAAAATTCGAAAGATTAGCAAAGCCTTGACAATTCCAGAAAATCATTGATATTGGTTGCTAGATTCCATTGCGCGAGGATGTTGGTTTTGATGCAGGTTTCGATATTTTCAACCCTTGGTCGCGTTGCGGTGAGTCTCCCTCGTCGCGGCTTCTTTTTGAGTTCGCTCGATTAATGTTTCCAGTTTTCACAATCTTAGGGACCTTGTTCATATATTTTATTGTTATGTCATTTTCTCCCGCTTGAATTCGACGGTCAAGTTCAGCTTTAACTTCCTTGAAGTATTTGGATTGCATCGGAGTATTATCAGCCTTAATGTACACATTGTTTGGTGGGGTTGAGGGTAATTTCGATTTATTCTTGAGGATCAATAACGCATTTGCTGGTGAGCTTAAAGTGACTCTGAGCGGCCTTGATTTTTGATCTGAGCGCGGTTTTCCTAATCGCAAAATAGAACTTATGGTTATATTATTTCCCGGGGCTATTTTGTCGATGATAGCTTGTGCCTCTACTTGATCCGTTCGAGATTCATTAAGGCCGCAAATGATAACATTTGCTTCACGTTTGGATCTTTCTGCTATTTCCATATACATATCTTCGGCGGAAAAATTCGGCACTGAGACTTTCGCTTCTAGCGTAGAAATTTTATCTTGAAGTTCTTGACTGTCTTTTCGCAAACCCTCAATATCAGAGACACATGCATTTATTGTTGCTGATTGAGAAGTGACAAGTTGAGTCAGATCATGTATTTTCGTGTTGCACATAGATATCGTATTATTGAGTTGCATAAACTGTGCCATAATAGCTTCAAAGTGTGTAGTTGTGATATCCGAGGGATTGGCAATGCATTTCTCGCATTTCCAGGCCCCTAGCGTATTTGATTTCGGTAAAACTGGCTGCGGCCGGGCACACGCACTGTGCCACTGTAATTTGCATACTGAGCATATCAGCGAACTATCGCTGGTAAATATTGCTTCGAGACACGTTTGACAATTTGGCATCGCGTATAGGCACTGCGTATAGGTATTGAATGCGGGTGTTTGCAAAAACTAGTTCTTCAGTAAGTAAACAAAGGTCTTACTCAATAGAGTCCAGTGTATGGAGACACTACACAGCTACACACACTTTCATAAGTCCTAATGTCTCTGTATATATCATATATATAATTTTCACGATTGATCTAGTCGGGTTATCAGAGCACTACTTATAAGAGATGTGCACCGTTCGAACGCTACAACTAAACTCACTTTAAGGATTCTGTTAAGAATTCTTGCAGGCAATCTGTATATTGCAACATTCGACAGGGTGTTCCTAGAAGGTCTTTACAAAAACCTACCACATAATATGCCCCATAGATGAAAACAATTCGATACAAGCAAATTTACTTCTGTACAAAGTTGCTCAGTTTGGAAGCTAGATGGCTCTGAAGTTAGAATTTTTGAATCGTTTTTACTTCATAACTTTGAAACGGCTTATATGAGATTCCACGCAAATTTGGTATATTGGCATAGCTTTGGCAATAAAACTGCTATCATGATTATGTTAAATATCATTCCATGGCTGTAGCACTTGATTTTTTCAGTAAATGTACATCTGAAATTTCCACGCCAATGGAAAAAAACGATTTGAATGTGAAATTTAGATTTTTCACCTTTTTTACTGCAAAAAAGGTACTCTTGATGAAATTCGATTACTCATATGGTTTCGACAAAATTTGAATTTTAGTAGGTAATTCAAAGCATCCAGTCAACACTGAAACGAATAACAGATATTTCGTGAAAATTGTTCAGGATTTTCATTCAGAGATTTAAAGGACGAAACAAATTTGAATGTGCTATCAGCTATTTTTTTTTTTGTACTGAGTAATCCAGAGCCGTCTAGCACCCAGACTGAGCAACTATATACTGAGTTGGATTTGCTTGTATCCATTTTTTTTGTCGTATATATCCTTGTAAACATAAAAATGATGATGATTTCGAACAATTCCCATGACATAATATCCGAGGACATAATATCTGTTGATCGTTTAATTGTTAACTGATGCTTTGAATTACTATTTATAAATAAAAATTTGTCGAAACCATGAGAGTAATCTATTTTTATCATTGGTACCTTTTTCGTTGTGAACAAGATACGCAATCTGAATTTCTTATTCAAACCCTCTTCTTTTCATTGGCGTAGGAGTTTTAAATGTTTATTCACTAAAAAAAAACAAGTTCTACGACCATGGAATGCTAGTTATTATAATCATGATAGGAGCTTCATCGCCAATGAAGCTATGTCAACGTACCAAATTTGAGTAAAATCTCATGGTCCATTTTGAAGTTATGAAGCAAAAACGATTAAAAAATTGTAACTTCAAAGCCGCGGTCAGAACCCAAACTAAGCAACATTGTTCTGAGGTAAGTTTGCTTGTATAGAAATGTTTTGGTTTGAGGAATATGTGGCGAGTTTCAGTGAACACTTTCCAGGGACACCCTGTATATGTGTGATGCACATAAAAAAAAACGAAACCCATCAACAAATTTCGTTTATTCGCTCAATACGGTTCTGGCAATGAAGGGGAGTCCCGTAAGGATCCTTGCTAGGATTTTGACATAGTAACATTGTATTCAGGCGTAATATTGATGAATAGCTGGAATACTATCAAAGGAAATGAATTGTGGTCTCTAATTAATATCTGGAAGTTGTGTAATGGCCGAATTGTATCTTCATTATGTACGAGTATCTGTTGATGGTGATTTATTGGCTACAATGATTAATGTTAACTGTTTTAGGTGAATGAAATGATCGGTAAACATGGAGTATAAAATACTAATCAAAGATTTATGTTGAAATGGGAAGCGGATTTTCAAAATTAGACCGGTTATGAGGAATAATTATTTTTGAATTCGTGACACGTCTATGCAAATGAGTAGGTATTTGAGATAATATTTTTCTGTAGATGAACATGATATCTACTAATTATTATGTGGTGTGAAATGAACTATGATTATTGAGCCTTCAATCCATGAAAATGGTCTACATAAAAGAATTAATGGCCACGATTTCCCCAACCTTAAACGGTAGGTTTTTATGAAATGATATATAATATCAATGATAATAATAAATCGTCTTTATAGGTACATCATTCGCAGAAAATAGTCGCACAAAACTAAATGTGAAACAATTTTTTTTCACAATATCTTGTATATCTGCAATGATGAATACAGGCGGAGTATCATGCAAAATGCTGCTTTTCAACTCAACCCAAGCTGTTTTTCAACTCATCCCATGTGTTTGATGAACTTCTCAATAACTACTACTTTGGAAGTTATCTGGCACAATAATCACGTCATATCATACCCGTCATATATATTCATTGAGAAAATACGAAACGAATATTGCAGAAATAATTCATTTTAGTGATGTCACAGACTCGGAGTCTTCAACCACTACTGCAATTATATATTTTTTTCCATTTTTGTGAGACTTATTGATGATAATATCATAATTCAAACTATTGTTTTATACTTTCTGTAGGAAGTAGTGATTATTTTATTTTTCTCATTAATACTTCATGACATGGAAGCTATCAACTATTGAAAATAAGAAACTCGAAGGCATTATTTCACTCTCTGATGCATGTTTACTGAATAGTCCACCTTGTTGATTCCAGAATTTCCTCCTGAGTGAGAATATATAAATGATCATTATCACGTTTATTATACTTTTTCATGAATATCCATAATATGTTTGGTTACATAATATAAGTGAAAATAAAATATAACTAACTCAGCTACTGTTGTTTATTTTCTCTGTTCTTCTGAAACTCTTAACAGCAACCATTTAATTTTGAAAGGAAAACGAAGAACTCAAGAAGAAGGCAGATCAACAATCTCAATGAGACCACCATAAGGTCCTCAATATCTAAGCTTGTTATATTAGTTATATACTCTTTCATGAGAATATCATGATGTCAAATTCCTCAAGAAAGCTGCTTCACAAAAACTTGACTTCTCATTTTGGGCAGAATGCTACTCTACGTCTCAACAGCTTTTTATGGTCAATGAATCAGAGTTCAGGCCCATTTCATCAAACTGTCCCCACAAATGGGGTCCAGTATTCAGACATACGCAGATTTCATTCAGAGACGTGTGATTCGTCTGGTTGTTGATGCCACACTCACTAATTTCTCAATATCATCAGGACACTGAAGGAGAGTCGGTGACCTTTCACCTCGCCTTTCACTTTTATAGTGTTCTTCGGATATCTTGGCTGTCGTTTCATATCAACAGGAATACCAGCCCAATGGTCATATGTACGTTCATTCAACGTTTATTTGATGTTAAATGGGTAAAAAATTCGTAACACGTTGATTTTTTAATGATGTCAATACGAATACGTTTATGAATTTGTTGAAAATACGAATATTCCAACTTTAATATAACTTCTGATTCAAAACTTTCCGCGACATTTTAACCGACGTTCAACGGTTGGTTACAGTGTAATACAGTTATAGTGTTGCAACCCGTTCAATATTTATATTTTCTTGAGATGTCGTTACAAGAAATTATTCAATGGATTGAAGTGTACTGATCTAGCCGGGAGATCGTTAGATATATCAACTGACAGAATGGAATTGAATTAAATGATATCGAAAATGCAATGCATAATAATATACGAAGTGTGAAATCATTTGGATTACCTACTGTGGAAACAAGCATGAGACACCAGCAAATAGAGAAAGAACGAAATGACAATGAAGAAAATCATAAAATAAAATCTGTTTGTGAAACTGCGGGATTTATTGTCGACAGGGTTATATTTTGAAATCATCTTCACTGACATCACTATCAGTGTTATTATAGTGCAAAATGATGATTCTGATTGGAACTGTTTCAACATTATATCTCAGTTACAATTCACTCAATAATTGTCATAAATTGAAATCGTTAATTTGGATAGTGAGGAAAGGTTCAAGATTATGTGTCAGTCGATCTTTTATGCGTCATGATAATCCAAGGGGGTGGATACCTGCCCCTGTCAGGGGTCGATGTTGCGTGACTGAATCCATCACAAATATGACTTTGTCCCCTCAAAACTCTCCAAAAAAACCTGTGTAATAACTTACTTTTCATTCTATAGATGTACAGTGTCTTTCATACACTCAGCATCATTATAGGAGTAACTTTTGGTGATAATTCATTTAAAAATTCGACTTGGGCCTTCAGCTTAAAAAAATATAAAAAATGGATTTCTTGGTCGCGGTCACGTGACTTTTCCTGAATGTCAAAAGTTACATTTTTTTTTAATCATAGGCTGAAAATATGCTCAATTGTTTGAATTTCGTACCAGTATACTGAAAAAGTCGTTTCTATTGGAATTTCACATACAGAGAAAGGAACAAGAAACAGAAAACTTTTGAATTATTCGAGATAAGGTTTTGGAAATTGGTGGGCAGCTAGTATACCAAATTGCTCATTGATTGACGTAATTATTTTTTTTTTCTATCACTTTCGGTTTTACTGGAAACGACCCCAACTTTTGATTTATAAATAAGAATAAGTATTGTATTCCATAATCGGTTATAGGGATTGTCATAACGAATTCAGCGATACCAGGTTTGATAGGGTTATTTCAAACAATAACGCATATATTCGCGTTCTAAGTTTCCATATATGCTCAATGAGTGTGACAGAAAAAGAAGTTTTGATAATGGGAAGTCACACCCATTGGGCATATGGATACTCCGAACGCAAATATCTTTGTGATCGTGTGATATAACCCTATCAAACCTGGTATCGTTGAATTCGTCATGATAAGAACTAACCAATCATCAAAAATAATACAGGGTGTCCCATTTGAATATCAAAAGTTGGTGTAATTTCCGGTTAAACTGAAAGTGCTAGAAAAAATTGTTTCATCAATAATTAATGAGCAACTTGGTTTACTTGCTACTCACCAGTTTTGAAAATCATATCTAGAATAATTCAGAAGTTACAATCCTAGCCGTTTTTTGTGCACTTCTCTGTATATTGTGTCTCGAATTCAAACATTCTATATTACAACTCTCAGTTTTTGATATTTTCTCAATATCCACGAAATGTCTGAAATATTGAAAAAACTTTACACCGACTAGACTATTTCATTCCAGTATATAGCTTCATCATGCTACTAACTTTATATCACTATAATTATCGAATAATATATGATTTTCTTCAGAAAATAATAATCCCTGCTTCAAATGTTGTCAATGTTTGATGCAAAGTTGATTTTTCTTCTAGCATGCAGGTGCGAAATTCATTCTAATGAATTTGCTCAGTACTGAAATGATGTCAAAGTCATCATCTATCAAAATATCTGCAAACTTTCGTCAGAGTTACGATAAGAAGATATCAAAAAACATCAAGAAATAAAAGTTGAAATATACTTAGAACATGTGTGAAATTGGAATAGGAACAACTTTTTTTTTATTTTAAGCGATTCACGCGTGACCCCGACAAAGTAGGCCATCTCTCATCTTTTTCAAACAAAACGCCCAAGTCAAATATCAAAATAATTCATTATAAGAAGTTTTTCCCATATGATACCAACTTTATGAAATACACTGTATATGAATATTATTTCATAGTTGAAAGCAGCTGGAAATTCTGTTTTTTCAGGTGGTTGCAGGTTCGAGTGTCCGAGGTTGGTTGGATGGCTCTTTGGAACAACAAAATTGGCTCAAACTTGTCCAATGTTGTTCCAACAAGATGGACGCTAATTTGAAACATAATTTGCAAGGAGGACAGGTGAGTACAAGTTGCCAACTCTCATTTATTTTGCAGGCGATACCTTCAGCTCACACATTATACAATGATACTCTGTGTTTCTTGTATATACTAATTGAAAATCTTGAATAGGTTGGAATTCCTTTGCACTTAAAATTTTACGACTGGAAAAAACTGACTTTATGTACCTATACAGGAATATCGATCGAAGAGTCCCATCCACATGTTCATGTTATCTTTCATCAAGAATCAAGAAACAATACGCCGAAATTCAATGTTGCTTCTTCACGGTCTTCATCAGATATTTCACAGGGACATCCCATACGATGCGAAGACTTTTTTGATGTATGTACAGGGTATCCCAATTTGGGCACTTTTGCGGGGTATCTCCCTTATCAGTAAAGATAGAGCATTGCGGTTTTCGCGACAGTGTGCTACTTTTTTATGAAATTGATAATGGCGCAAGCAGAATTGTGATAGCTCTTCCGGTTGTCGAGATACAGGGTGGAATTGAAAAATATCACTTTTCAGGCACCCTCCGTGTCTCAGTTATCTTTGAACTTATCGAAGAAGTTAAAACTCGTTTTTATAGAGTTTTTCTCGTAGAATCCAGTGGCGTAGTTATTTTTTTGCTAGCACCTTTTGTTCTTTAGTTGTGGAGCAAACATATGTTTTTTTAAATGGAACACCCTGTATATTATTTCATATATACATTGAGCATGAAGTGGGCTTTCCAAAAATATATAATTGTATACAATTATTTTCCATTTAAAAAAACATATGTTTGCTCCATAACTAAAAAACAAAAGGTGCTAGCAAAAAAATAACTACGCCACTGGATTCTACGAGAAAAACTCTATAAAATCAAGTTTTAACTTCTTCGATAAGTTCAAAGATAACTGAGACACGGGGGGTGATATTTTTCAATTCCACCCTGTATCTAGACAACCGGAAGAGCTACCACAATTCTGCTTGCGCCATTATTAATTTCATAAAAAAGTAGCACACTGTCGCGAAAACCGCAATGCTCTATCTTTACTGATAAGGGAGATACCCCGCAAAAGTGCCCAAATTGGGATACCCTGTACAAGGTTATCCATCGAAAAGGCCCACCCAATAACGTTATTGTTTCATCGAAGAAAATTGGGATGCTCAAAGTGGCTATTGTGTCTATTTCGTAGTTAAAATTACTTCAGTCTGGCAACGAGCCACTCCCGTATGGGATTTTTGGTTTTGGAGTGTTTCTTTCCTTCTTTTCTACTCAGATGGCGTTGCTCTCATGGACGCCTCTGAGGGAATATAATGCCGACTTGATTTCTGTTTGGCGGTCGTAAGACTGTTGGCTGGAGGATTCCCTGCACTGATGGGAGTCAAAGAGCTCGCAACCGGTCTGTAGGTGTCTAGCGTGGCCTGGATAAATCCAAATCAATGGGCATTCAGGAAAGAATCTCTTGTATCAGTATTCGGAAAGATGTGATTCAATGTTCGACGTTACCCTCGAAAGTTGTTGTTTTTCTCCCGTTCATTGTATAAACATTGTGTGGAAATGACTTTGAGCTTTTTGTATTTATTTATATTAACATGTGTCCTGAAATGCACCCCCTCCGAGTATATGGAAGTGTGGACCCCCCTCCAACTCCCCCAAAACTGTATTTACATAATTTTTGAAGCAAGAAGGAAACGAAGTGTTCAAAAAGACAGGGGCATGCCAATTTCCAGATGCTCAGAGGGGGTGCATTTCAGGACATATGTTTATGTAAGGAAAATGCCTTATTTTGATGTCAACAGTTTGTCCTGAAAATGTTCAGAACAAATTTTGAATCACCCTGTATATATAGAGCATAATATCTTCTATTTTCATTTCTATATCACGACTCATTCGAGCATAGAAAAACAAATTTTGTGTGAATAATTGGTGTTCACTCGATCAGTTTGATGATGCTATATATATACAATTGTCAAATATATCCATATGCATTCATGGCTAACATGTTATCTGTCAGTGGAAACTAACACACAGAAATTGTTTCTTTATGCGGTCAAAAAAGTTCTGATAATGAAGTGAAAAAAAATATGATACTGTATATTTCTGAGAAAACATCACAGATTGAAAAATATTTAAAAAAATAATTTGTGGTTTGTCACGCTCTCAGAGATCACCCAGTAAAACTTTTGATAAGGGCTATGAAAAGGCATCTTTGCGGCATTCAAATTCCTCATATTGTCATTGTTTCTCAATAAAAAAACATGGTAAAGGCTTCTAGATGGCAAATCGTGGTACATAAAATTGTTTATATTCGACCATACTGATGCGTATATAATATCTAATGTACTCTAGTAATCTTATAACACGACGATCGATCTTCTATATATACATATAAATATTACAAAAAATCCATATATAAATATGAAAACAATTCTGTATGAGGTGCCATAACCTGTATATGTATATATTTATATATACAGTATGCTATCTACCTATTTTCTTCTCATTACTCCCGAAGCATGGCTTCATAGGAAAATCTTTAACCAGAGTTTGCTTTTACAGCTGTGGTATGAAACTTTCCAAGACATACCAGCTGGGACTGAACTGACATTGGCTCCTAGAGAACCACTGAATCTTCAAGATATGTTTGGCGACTCACCTTCAGCTGACGAACGATCTGATAGAGAAACAGGTGAAACATTTTTTTTTCTTATCGATGATATATTGAAAAGAAGGAAAGTACTTATCATCCATAAAACAACAAAGAATTAGTGCACACTTATTTAGATAGGAAAGATTTTGTATATTGATACAATATTTTGTCATAATAGATAAATCACGTGTCCACAACAATAATCAAGGGTTTAAAGAATAGATAGTTTATGCAATCAAATAAATTATTCGAGTAAAAAACTGTTTGTGGAAATGAGGAAAATGTCTACATATGGGGACTAAATTCCCATTTTCATAAGGTACCTTATTGTCGATTCAATTATTTTATCTCCATTCATCGATCATTTTTTCTGAGTAAATTCCTCTTTATATCTTGATCTTCATTCAGGACCTTCGCCAAATTCTTTCCAAACAAACAAAAAATCATATATTCAGTAAATCAAACATTTCTGGAAAGAAACACTCATCTAAATGAAATCGAATCGAAATACGTTAATAATGAGAATGAAGTAACATATATATTTTATGTTTATTCATAACAACCCTATACTGCCATCAATTGCATCCTGTTCATAATAAATCACCCCCGCACGTTGATTTGCGCCAATTACCCTGTCAAGTGAAGTCAAAAGTTCTGAAAACTCAAAAAGGGCATCTGGCCGGATATGGTCACCTTCTTCCGGTCTATCAGCGAATCGTTGAATAAAATCAAGGGCCATATCACTCGCGTGTCTACATAAAAAGATTTCCATTTCGCCACGCGTTTTCGTTATATATTTATCATTGAATAGAAACATGCGATGTTTTCTTCTTCAGTGATCTGAAAGAATAATTAATAATTATTCATAATGAACAAATCAAAATAGATCTCTGGTTGAATGAAGACTTATGTACTGTAATAAAATTCATAATGTAAAATGTTGTATTATTCTATTTTGAAAAGTAATTCAATCATTAAATTGAAATAATATATTCACTGAATTTAAAAAAATACAATAAATCCTGGAAATTTCTATACACGTTTGTGAGGGTGGAACATTTGATTTATTGTGCTTCAGGTACAGGGTATCCCACATAACATGGGCCACCCCCTTATCTGGTAAACTATTATTTATATACAAAAAAAAGTTCAGTATAAAAGTTGTATTACTTCTTATGAAATTTATTTTTTAGATACTTTCGTGTATACAGGATGGTCCATATGTCTGTGACTTATCACACATACGTTTTTTCAAATAGAATACCCTATATTTTATCATATTTTTAGATAGTACTTCAGAAGACGAGTTCAATGATATATAATAACATGGGTCTGAGATCACCCGTTTCGGATTTATACACGATCTTCTTCAATAAATTGCCAAATTTCGAAGCCCTATAGAAACGTTGCGAATGAAGTTTTCGATTCGCAGTTTCCGCTATAAATTAACAAAGTCTGTATATTATTCTGTTCTATGGTGAAAATTTAGGAATTTTCAATTTGCCAAAAGTGATGACGTATTTTGAAAACCAATAAATATCTCTAGATTTTCAAATGGAACACCCTATATTCCATTCCAAATTTGCATAGAGCTCAGGAAGACGAGTTCAATGATATATCATAACATGTGTCTGATATAACCCGTTTCGGACTTATACACGATCTTCTTCAATAAATTGCCCAATTTCAAAGCCCTATAGAAACGTTGTGAATGAAGTTTTCGATTCGCAGTTCCCGCTAGAAATTAACAAATTTTGTATGTTTTCTTGATCCATGGTAAAAGTTCATGAATTTCGCATTGGCCAAGAGTGATGATGTATTTTGAAAAACGATAATTTTTTACAAATTTTCGAATGGAACACCACCCTATTTCATTCCATCTTTGATGGATGAAGCTCAGAATGACGAGTTCAATGATATATTATAATATGGGTCTGAGATCACCCGTTTCGGACTTATACACGATCTTCTTGAAGAAATAATCAAATTTCAATGGCAAAATTCTGACTGTTATCTTCATATTAGATAAAAATTTTGTAATTTCTGTGAAACAATTCGTGATAAAGAGTTTTGAAAACAACGAATATTATCGAAATTTTTATGCAATGTTATACTATTATTTCACTGGAAAACCTTTTGGAAATGATTGAGCACAGGTTATCACAATTAAATTTCACCTACATTTGACTCTATACGAGACCAATGCGGGAATATTCAATTAATAAATGTGCATAGCTGAAAATGGACGGTATATAGAAAATTTGATTTGACTACTTTGTATATTCAATTGGATACTATATCTAATTGTTACTGTTGTTATGTTTACTCGTTTTCTCAGTTACTGTTAGTTTTTTTGTTCGACTATTCATTGAAGAAGATCGTGTATAAGTCCGAAACGGGTGATCTCAGACCCATGTTATTATAGATCATTGAACTCGTCTTTCTGAGTTCTATGCAAATATGGAATGAAATATAGGGTGTTCCATTTGAAAATCTCGTGATAATTATTGGTTTTCAAAATACGTCATCACTTTTGGCCAATTCAAAATTCTTAAATTTTCACCATAGAACAAAATAATATACAGACTTTGTTAATTTATACCGAAAGTTGCGAATCAAAAACTTCATTCACAACGTTTCTATAGGGATTTGAAATTAGACAAATTATTGAAGAAGATCGTGTATAAATCCGAAACGGGTGATCTCAGACCCATGTTATTATATATCATTGAACTCGTCTTCTGAAGAACTATCTGAAAATATGATAAAATATAGGGTGTTCTATTTGAAAAAACGTATTTGTGATATGTCACAGACATATGGATCATCCTGTATAAATGACAGTATCTAAAAATTAAATTTCATAAGAAGTTATACAATGTTCATCCTGAATTTTTTTGTGTTTATATAATAGTTTACCAGATAAGGGGGTGGCCCAAGTTATGTGGGATACCCTGTACTTCTTCTGGTCTAAGACACTGAAACTAGAACTCTAGTACATACATATACAATGCTATTATAAACAGTTATTTCAATAATACTTCACTAGATAAATCATTATATTCATGAGATATATAAGTATGTCTTCATCGTGAGTAAGATTTTGCTCCATTCGGCTGGACAAATATTGTTATATAAAAATCCGAATATATAACGGCTATATACGCGTGCCCATAAGACAAATAACGAATGGCAGTCCGTATAACAGTCACGTGGCTGAATTCGTGTCTAGGTTTGGACGGATTATCATGGCTATTGTAGGACATTCTCACCCTTTCGGATGGAGTTGTCAGCCCGTCAAACTTTATTTATGATATTTATTATGAGTAATGCGAGGCTGTGTGTACAGTGGCGTTTATACATTATGGATATGTGAATAGATATACACTCATTGATATACGATATACAGGGTGTTTTGAAATGGAATGGCCTTCATGCAGGTAAATCACTACAAGGAGAATACAAATTTTCAAATTCAGAATATTGTTTTTTCAAATTGTAATCGTATGTGTTCAATACAAATAATTCAGAGTTCGTTGTGGCTTATAGCCAGAAAAGTAGTTGTTTTCTGTTGAATAAACCGAGAAAGAACTGATATTTTCATCACATAGAGAAGGCGAATACTCAATGTATTTCTTTATATATTATATACAGGCTGATTCACGGTGGATGGTACAATAGACGTTGCTGGAGAACGAAAGTCAGGATTATTCTGAAAATTGAATACCTTGAATGATTAGTTGTGTTCTATCGACCTAAAATATTCTCAGCATTGCGACGTTGCCGTTCATATTGGAAACTAGCAACAACTTATATTCTTTCAATGGGACACCCAGTATATTATTCCATTTTCAGATTCTTCCTGAAGAGCTGATTTTATTGACCTATAACACTTGGGGTCTAGCCGTAATAATTACAGAGTTATAGGATGTGAAAAATCTCGATTTTCACACCCTATATCTTTATTATCATTGCCGCTAGACCCCAAGAGTGATAGATCAGCTCTTCAGGGAGAATCTGAAAACGGAATGAAATACAGGGTGTTCCATTGAAAAAAACCGAAGTTGTTTCTACATTTCAATAAGCAGCAACGTCGCAGCGTTGAGAATATTTTTGGTCGATAGAACACAACTAATTATTCAAGGCACAAAATTTTCAGAATCTGAGTTATATCCTTATCCATATTTTTATGTTCATAATTAATCTGAAATTATTCTTTTTTACTGCGAAATAAGTTGAGGTTGCTGAGTAAGAAGTTTCCGTTGGTGTATCCATATTCAAGATCGAAGGTGTTAGGATTTTTTTTTCAACATTCTTCACGATTGAGACGAAACTACTGGTAACATTGTAGAGACATTTTGTAAGATTATGAGGAAGCTGATACATCGCATGAATTTGTTTTTATATCTGACTCTCATGAAGGATGTAAACTTTTCAAACAAAACATTTCTGGGGTTAGATTTTCAGTCCAAATCTGATGTGATCTTGAACATTCATACTATATATTTATATATATACCAAAAAGCTCTACTTGTTAGTATGTAGGTAAGGTTTTTTTCTCGAGATATTTTCCTTCAACTGATTGAATAATTCATGTATTCAGTCAAATTTCTCTTAATTATCTGCTTGTGATTATTTTTTCAGTGAATAATTATAACATTGGGATAATGTTGTTGTTTTTGGATCTCAATAAATATTCTATTGGCATGTTTAAATAGAAAACCCAGTTGGTAGACAATATATATTGAAAAATAATGCACATGAACATCATTCGATTCATACCATCCTTTATGGGTATATTGGGTATAAACTGCCAATGACCTATAAACCTATCAACGAGCGATTTCTTCAAAGTCATCAACCGTAGTCGTTGAAAATTAGATTTTTGTAAAATATTGATCCGAAACCCTAGCTCTCCAGTCAAAGGGCCGCGATACGCCACTGTGAACATTTACAGCCCTCTGATTCTCGTATGATATTCGGACAGATGCGACAAGTCACGGATCTTTAGGAGTTAAATAAACGTGCGTTTGGGATGT